TATGTCATGTAGGTTAGATATGTTTATTTGTTCTATTTTACATAAATTTGTGCACATTTTAAGTTGGAGGGTGAATGTGCATGCGATTAAAGTCCCGATTCCTTGCTTTTTTGACAACAGTAAAATAATTGCTAGACAGAGGCGAATCCAGGATTTTAAGAAAACGGGTGCACCATTGCTTTAAAGATAATATCAAAAAAATTATAATAACAATAACTAAGCGAGCAATACATAAAAATTACATTACCACAAAAAATATCATTAGTTTACAATTGTACTCGACGAGACTTCATATTTTGAAAACGATTTATAATAGCATCATTACTTACATTTTCAAATATCTTCCGCTCTATCTTACAAACTAAACATCCATTCAAAAATTCTTCACCAATGCTATTCAACTTAATTAGTCACAAATTTAACTAGCAAATTTAAAATAAAATAAGAGAATCGCATATCTTTCACAATAAAAAATAAGGGAATCACACCCTTGAAAGTTCAAATAAAATAGAGGAATCACAATCTTTGCAAATTTAACTAAAATAGAGAAATCACACCCCTTTCACATTTAACAATAAGAAAATCACACATTCATAATAAAAAGAGGACTTATGCCTCTTTTGCATTCGAAATCACATATTCATAGAAAGAAGAGGAATCACACCCTTTTCACATTTAAAAAAAATAAGGGAATCACACCCCTTTCACATAAAAAAAAAAAGGGAATCACACCCCTTTCACATTAAAAAAAAAGGAATCACACCCTTCAAAATTGATAATATAATATGAAACACATTCCTTACAAGTTACATTCGCAAAATATGTAAGTTTGAGATAATCAATTCTTTAGCTATTGATGATTTCCTATTATAAGTAATGACAAGATTTTTTTATATGAAAACCCTAAAATTAAAGTGATACATATATATATATATATATATATATATATATTTATCTTGTTAGTTTGTTTATTAAAAAGAGAAATCATAAACTAAAATTACCTTAAACTTTGACAATGATGATTTATCTAAATTCTTGACTTGAAGTTGGAGACTTGAAACTTCTTCTTTGTGTGGAAAATAGAAAACAAATTTGAAGAGAGGAAAAATATTGTTGGAACTTGGAAAGTGTGTGGGAAGGAAACTTTTGAAGTCTTTTGACTTTTAAACTTTCAGAATTTAGCTTTTTCTTTCTTTTTTTTTAATGAAAAATGTGTTTTTAGTTAATAAAAATAAATTGAAGCGAATTGGAGCTGCCTGGGATCGAACCTGCGACCTGCGAGTTGAAATCTTGCAGTGGTACCAGTGAACCATCCAGCCATTTTGAGAACGGGTTCAACAAGTTTTAATTTAATATATTCTTTAATAATTATAGAAGTAATATATCGAGTTTAGTCGGATGACCACGGGTTCGGGTGACCCAAAATTAGTACATAAATTCGCCCCTGTTGCTAGACATAATATCAGTTCAAATGAAATTATATCATACCCGTTCGATCAAAAGCGGAGCTAAATGGGGTTCATGGGTTTAGACGAACCAATAGCTTTTCCGTAGACTCTTTAGAAAATTAAATAAATATATATGTATATTAACTTGTGAACTCCTTTACAAAATTGATTGACACTTAATATTAAAGAAGGGGTCATATAAATGTTTTTCACACTAGTGTTATGAGTTCAAATCCCATAATATCAACAAAAGTTTCTCTTTCTTTTTTTTTAAAGGAAACATGTTTTGCAATATTTTTCTGTTCTATCCTAAAGTTTAAAAGTTAAAACCCTAAACTCTTAATTCGGACTATGTCTCTAATATGACTAATATCCTGATTCCTTTTTGTTTTTTGGTAGCTAATGTAAAATGAGTGTTAAACATAAATATCAGTTGAGACGAAATTCTATTATGCCAATAAATTTTGATAGTGTTGTCACATGAAAGCAGTTAAAGTAGGCTACTTTCACATGAAATTAGGCATCATGTCCCAAAAGAGGAACACAAAGAAGCAGTTGGATTGAGAAGAAAGAATCATTTCAGAAACTAAACAAGGAGACAAAAAAGCTGTTGCCAAGTCATATTGATTTCTAATTCCTATATCTATTTTTAGGGAAAATAATAAGTAGTAAAAAAATTGTACATTATGTTTAGGGTAGATTTAAAATATATTTATGAATAGTTTTGAATTTTCAAATTTATTTAGAGTGAGTACTTTTAATTTCGATGTATTTAACAAACTCTATTTGTTACATTTGATGAGAATTGTGAAAAGAGTTAGTAGGATATGTTTTTAGAGACTGATATAACTTTTTTGAAATTTAAATATAATTAATAGACGTTTTTAAAATAAATATAAAAAAAATTATACCATACTATCCATATAAATGAGTAAAATATAACATAAATTGTAAAAGCTAATTCCAAATGTTAGCCCTTATTAAGAAATTTATTCTTTTCAAAGTTTCCCTTAAAAATAACAAACAACGATTGTATTTCTATGTTTCCCTTAAAAAAAACGTCAACACTATCCTCTAACCCTAGTTGTAGCCCCATAATTTTGAATAAGCGAATTCAAATCAGGATTTAGACCATTTCAAAAGTTATCTAGTGTACTAAAAATATCTAATTAATACTATTACGAAATGATATATTAATAGAAATTATATTAAAATGAATATGTTGTAATTTTATTAATGTAGTAATTACTTATGAGTGTTAGATTGGTAAGGAAGGGAGTTTGTGAATATTTGGTGGAAAATTAAGTAAAAAACCAAAAATATATAAATGAAAGGACTTATATGACTCATGATTGTGTTTGTTAAATAATTTGAAGTGTGGTAAAACTCACATAATTAGTGCAAAGAAATGGACCCAATCTCATTATAAGAAATAAAGATGTGGTGCGATAAGTTGAGATTTATGCGTTCTTAATGAGAAGTTTCGAGTTTAATCTTTGTGAATGAAAAAAGATTGGGTTGGGAGCACATATGCCCCTCAAAAATGAGCCGTTCTAAACACGAATACGAAGTAGTTAGAATTTTGAAACGAATATCAAATACCAAATAATAATAATAATAATTACACCTTTGTTTCATTTCCTAACGAATTGAAACAAATATGAATGATATAATTGATTATAATTACTTTGAGATTTAGATATTTTTTTGTTATTATTCAAAGTAGTCAATTTTTCAAAATGATTTTCTTAGTCTTGATTTGTCTGACATTAAGTTACATTCATGTGGTCAAAGGTCAAATCATAACATCTTAGAGATCAAATTTCAATAATTCATTGTTCCATTTAGAATTAAATTCAAATTCTTAAATCAATAATAGAGATAAGATTGTGAATTTATTTCTAAACGGGGTAATGAATCATTGAAATTTGAACTTTGAGATGTTGTGATTTTAAATTTTGAAATGTTTTAATTTTTCATCATTTATGAATTCTCAACACTTGGATAACGACCATGAAAATGAGTTATAGTGAAATCAGTCAATAATACTTAAGTCATGCTGGATTGTTTATAAGCAATTTTTTGGGGGTGACTCTTTTACACGAGTCTTACATATATTATTACACGTAAACACCATGTATGACGCAAATTGTTATATAGGATGTCACATAAGATGTGTGTGTCTATTTGTTGAACTTTATATAAGTTTAAGTGTCTATTTATACACAACTAAAATTGAAGAGTATAAATATAAAATGCTACCAAATTAAAAAAACATTATATATTATGCTTAAAACGTTTCATGCACTATTTTATTTTTATATATACGAGTACAAGAACTATTATATACATCGAGTTATTTGATGCAATTACATATATAAAAATTACATCGTGTGTATGTACATCTCCACCTTGCCTAATTAAGAAGATTTTCAAGTAAAAAAAATAACAATAAAAATACTTCTAGTCAAATAAATGAAAAGAACAATATTTTTGAGTCAAATTTAATATGTTGAAGATATTTTTGACCATTTTTCATAAAATTAAATTATCACAATATCAAGAAAGAATTAAGGGTCGTTTGGTGTAATGAATAAGAAAAATAATTTAGGATAAATTTTTAGTATCACTCAATTCATTGTTTGGTTATAAAGTGTGAGATAACTTATTGTAGGATTAATAATTATGATTGAGATAAGTTATTCAAACTTATGAGTAAATACTAATTTCGAAATAACTTATCTTTGGGATAAAAATATAAAATAATAAAAATATCCCTTTAAACCTTCTTTTATACATCACTTTTACATACATGTATATTCAAATCATTTTTAATATCATTTATAATAACATTCGCAATCTTCACTACTCATTATTTTTATGATTATATACATTTTAATTAAAAACTACACTATATAAATATAATTTTTATTCATGAATATATATATGTTCAATTTATTTGAATAATTTTTATATTTATTTATATTTTGATTTCTTTTAAAATGTTCATTCCACTATAAAATTACATATTTTAATTAAATAGTCTTTTAATCACTTGAAAATTTGTACTTCTGTTTTATGAAGATAACTTTAATATTTTACGATATATGAGTTATATGTACTTAAATAAAGTGGCATCAACAACAAAATTTCTTTTTACTTTAACAAACTTAAGATGATTTTTTTTATTTTTAAGCTAAATAAAATAGATATTTTATATTAAAAAACACACCACATAATTATGAAAATATAACACAAAAATATTTAAACTAAATAAAATTAAAAAAAAAACATTTTTAAGAATGAATAACTAAAACTAATAAAGAAAATATAAAAAACTTTATAACAAACAACTTATTATTAAAAACTATGTCATTCATATTATTTGAAAATAATCTTGACATAACTAATCTGATCATATAGCTTATCTCATTTCGACTAATTTCAACATAACTTGTCTTCGAATCAAACGAGTCCGAGTAATAAATATTTTAAAGAAGAAAACAATGATATCTCCTTACAAATTTCACCGTCTCTCACACTCCCATTTCCCATTCAATGCTTTACCGAACAGCTGCAAACTACTCTTCTTCTCCTCTGCAAGTACTTCTTCTTCCCCAATTTCCCCTGTTTTTCATCAATTTTTCAACCCATTTTACGTAACGCTTTTCGGTTTATGTTTTTGGGTGTTCAACAGGAGATGGACAGCTTCGATAAGGCATTGAAAACCAGCTATTTCAGGCCAGAAATCGCCATGAAAATGACCCACCACCAGTCCTCTGTCGATGATTTTTTCGTTGATAACCTTCTTGACCTCTCCAATGGCTTCGCTGAAGACGAAATTGAGCAATTAAACGAACACCCAAATGGATTTAACACCCAAAAACCTTGCTCTGTTTCACCCCAGAAGAAAATGGAACCTGAAAATGGAGATTTTGGTTGTGAACTCAGTTTTCCGGTAAAAACAAATTGTTCCGATTACGCTATTTTGTTATTTTTTATTTATTTTTTTTGAGAAATGGTATAAAAGGGTTTTGTTTATAGGAAAATGGGTTGGATAATCTCGAATGGCTATCTCAGTTTGTTGAAGAAGATTCGTATTCTGGGCATTCGTTGATTGGAAAACTACCGGTGAAGAAGAACCAGTCAGTGACGGAAAACCCGGTTCAGGTGAATTCATGTTTCACAGCTCCGGTTCAAACAAAGCCCAGAACTAAACGTGGGAGAATCGGCGGTCGAGTTTGGTCTTTCACCGGTTCTTCCACTTCCTCTGCTTCTTCCTCAACTACAACGACGACAGCTGAGTCAATCGTACGGTTTCCAGCGCCGGTGAATAAGCGGAGGAAGATGACGGCGGAGAAGCCGGTCCAACCGCGGCGGTGCAGCCATTGCGGTGTTCAGAAAACACCTCAGTGGCGGACCGGTCCAATGGGTGCAAAAACGCTTTGTAATGCATGTGGGGTCCGGTTTAAATCCGGTCGGCTATTGCCGGAGTATCGTCCGGCTTGTAGTCCGACGTTTTCGAGTGAACGACATTCGAACAACCACCGGAAAGTTTTGGAAATGCGGCAGAAGAAGGAGGCGGGAACCGGCGGTGCTCGGTTTGCTCCGCCGGTTCATAGTTTTTGAAGAATTTAGGAGTAGAAATTTTAGAGGGAAAAAAGACCGAACCGGAGTTGGTCCGGTTTATTGTGTACATTAATTCGTAGGATCTATGTTATAGTGTAATGTACTTTTCCATTTCCACCTAAATGAAAATTAAATTAAATTGGTGAGTTACCTATTATTTTGTTTATTTTTGGTAGAGAAATGGTCAAAAGCCCCTCAAATCTATATTCGAATTTTTAACTATACATTTTAACTTCACGAGAATCTTATCACCCCCTGTAGTGTTTAAAATTGAAATTTTTACCTCCCTGAATGCTTACTGGCAAAGTGAGTGTATTTCACTCTCTTAGAGAGAGTCTAAGAGAGTGAGTACAAAAAACAAATATTAAAATTTTATTTTTAATATCTCTTTTTACAAATATATGGTTTTTTATTATTTATTATATTTCTTCTCCATAGCAACAAAGACGAAATTCCTCCACCATTCACATTTAACCATCTCTAAGCCGTCATTGCCACCATCATTTTCACCGGATTCATTATTGTTGATTTCACATAAGCTTTTAAACTCTCATATAAAAAACTTCTAAAAATCAATCAAATCAATTAAAGATAAAATGACATGTATTTATATCACCCAAAAAAGGGATTTCGATCAAATTTGAAAAATAAAATCAAATTGGGTTTACATTAAATCCAATTGAACTTCCAAATTAGAATGTTTTCTAATTTATTTATAGATCCTTTAGTTTATTTTTCAGTTTATCCTCTCTCCGTTGCTCGACTGGCCGGTGAAATGCTACCGCAGCCACCACTATCCCCGCCTCCGGCGAAACCCAAACCACTAGCAAAATCATTTCTCCCCCCTGCACTGCTCCGAGACCAGCGAACTCCGCTGAACCAAGAAAAACCTCGACAAAGCAACGATATGCACAAATCTTGTTAGTTTGTTTTTCACGTTCTCCGACGAACAAAGCTCGAATATCACTTGACGAGCTCCGCTATCATTGTTCATCTTTGTTCTTCACAATCCAATTTCAGTGGATTTTGGTGTTAAAAGTTATGGTAAAGTTACTTTAGGAATTTGAAGGAAATGGAAGAAGAAGTTACTTTAGGATTTGAAGAAATTGGGAGAATATAGGAGAAAGGGGAAAGGAATTATAAAAAAAATTGAAAAAAAATATTAAATTAATCAAATTTTCACGTGTCAAGCGCGTGAAATTCACATATCAACATAGATGTGATTGTGGCCTTTTAAGGGTGTAATTATTTTAATTTTAAATAGTTCAGGGAGGTGATAGGACTCCCGTGAAGTTAAAGTGTGTAGTTGGAAATTCGGATATAGATTAGGGAGGCTTTTGACCATTTTCTCTTTTTGGTATATGTTTTAGGGAGAAGGCACACGTACCCCCTAGACTATGACCGAAATCTCAGAGACACACTTTAACTAAACTAAGGTCCTATTACCCCCCTGAACTCATTTTTAATATAATATTGTACACATTTTGGCTTATGTGGCACATCACATGACTCCACGCAGTTGAAGCGCGTTAGAGATATTTGGATGCCACGTAAGCCAAAAAAGTGTATAAAATTACAAAAAAAATGAGTTCAGGGGGTAATAGGACCTTAGTTTAGTTAAAGTGTGTCTCTGGAATTTTGGCCATAGTCTAGGGAAGTACTTCTACCTTTTCTCTTTTACAAATTTTGAAAGGGCTTAGAGCCGGTTTAGATTGGTTTAAAAAAAAGTAACTTTTAAAGTTTTTAGAAAGTGCTAAAATAATTTTAAAAATAAGTAGTTATGTGTTAAGATAAAACGGTCACCGTTATAAAAAAGTTATTAATGTATTGGGTAAATAAATGTTTTTAAACGTTTTTTTTTAATGAAAATGTTTAAAATACCCTTTAAACTGTTAATATTATAAAAAAGAAGAGGTTTTGAGATACTCTTTGGAGTGGCCCAGTGATTTGGACTTGAGATTTCCATGTTGGAGGTCTCAAATTTAAAATTCCTTGCTAGCAAAAGTAAAGGATTTGTTTACCTTCTGAGTCAAGTTCGTTACACCAGAGTTTTACATTATATGCACTTAAAGGGTAGCAACCGCAAATTTTCCTTATCATTGTGCTCATCAACATTCTAAATATATGTTGGATTTTCTTTGTGTGGATATTCATGATAGAAAGCAATGAAGGAGGGTTTATTGGTAATAAATGCTCGTGAAAACTTGCGCCGCAACGGCAAAAGAAGGGAAAGGGGAGATCTTAGGGTTTTATTTCGTAAGGGAAAATTTGAAATTATTTAAAAGAATTGAGGATACAAAAGTAATATCTTTGGTCAAACTTAAATGACTTTTAAGTTTAAAAAAAATGAAAAAGGGTAAAAAAAAATATCCCTAAAGTATGTGAAATAGACCACTTATACCCTCCATTACATTTTGGGATAAAATATATTCCCGCCGTTATTTGAAGAGACCACAAATACCCTCAAGAGTTAACTACCTAAATTTTTAGTGATGTGGCAAGCCACATGGGACTAATCCCTCCACCTAAGCATTGCCAACTAGGATTCACTGCAAAAGAACTTGACCTTTAGCGGCAATAAAGTCCCAAAATATTGCTACTAAAGGTTATGAGTGATTTTTAGTGGCGGCTAAGGTTGGAACAACCATTCGCTAGTAAAACCTATTTTTTCAACAAAAAAATATGATAATTAATTTTCGATTGCAACCTGATTTTCTAAAATCAATAAGTTGCACTATCAATATTAAAAACATCCAATATTATTACGAAAATCATCAAAATTACTTCTCGATTCAAATCTCTTACTACATAATGCATCATACTACATTTTATGCATTACATATGACATGAAAATAAAACATAAATTGTCTTCAAACTCCTCCTTATTCGATAGTATTTTTGGTTTTTTTAAAAACAATGAAGAAAAAAAAAATCAGAATTTTATGTTAAAAACCTTAGTGACGATATTCTAGGCTTTTGTGGCGAATGTTGTCGCCGCCAAAGGTCTAGTTCTTTTGTAGTGAATCCTAGTTGGCAATGCTTAGGTGGAAGGATTAGTCCCACGTGGCTTGCAAGTCACTAAAAATTGGGGTGTTAACTTTTGAGGGTATTTATGGTCTCTTAGGATAACGACGGGGGCATTTTTTATCCCAAAATGTAACGAAGGGTATAAGTGGTTTATTTTGCATAGTTCAGGGGCAATTTTGACTATTTTCCGTAAAAAAAAAATAGAAGTATGAGGAGTCCTACTTTTAGTATCTAACTTATTTTAAGTTATTTTAAACTTATTTTAATCTATTTTTATATTTGTCAAACGCTCCCAAAAGTTAAAAAAACGAACTTGAAAATAAGTTTGACCAACTTTTAAACCAATCCAAACAGACTTCTATTTTTATGCAGAGATTTAAATTTTAGTTTAAATTAAAGCTATAAGAAAATTTGGATGATAAATGATATATGCAGTGTAATTTCATCAGTTGATTTTGAAAAGAGTAAAATGAACACATTCTACTTTTATCTATATTGGGATACATAATCAAACAACAACAATAAAAATAAATCCTATATAATTCCACAAATAAAATCTAAAAAATATAATGTGTACTTAAATTTACCTCTATCTTATGAAGATCGAAAGATTATTTTCGAAACATCCCATACAAAGTACTACTAATAACACCAAAAAAGGGAAACTAACTAAATGAGTGACTTGCAATTGCACGCCAAACTAAGTAAAGTTAAAGGTTTGTTTCTGCTTTTATTCTATGTATAATATTAGACTCGAATTTGATATTTATTCCTATTTTATTAAGCCTTAATAAATAAAATATTAAACTACTTTGTAACGTTTGCAGCACATATACAACTAACAATAATATAATTATGATCTCATAAGTGCGGGTTGTTTTTTTATCTTTATAGGAATAGAACTATTTTTTATAAGCTTTTGGCCGAAAAAAAAAAGGTACCTTTGTAATATAATTGAAAGAAACTTGATAACAAAAGTCAAAAAGAACAAAATAAGCCAATGAAGCAATAAATAGTAATGTACTTTGAAGAAAAAGAAAATACATGACTACTAAATATAATATAATAAAATTGTTTTAGTAATGGAATTGTTTTAGTAAAATTCGAGGGCATCCATTAACTTTTAGCTCAAAGGCTCTAACTTTAAAAATATAGTTTAGAATCACCTTATGTATACACCCTGACTATTATTAGTTTCATTCCTGGAATTATTTAAAAATACTTATCAACTTGATTAATAGAACTTAAATACATCATCGATCTTGTAGCATGAGTGAAATACACCCTTAATTTCTCGCTAAATTTAGAGGTGTTTTCAATACTTTTCTCGACTTTTTATTAAGAGAAACATCCCCTTACAAGAGTTTGAGACTACTTGTTATGTAATGTGACAAATCGGGGATATGATCTAAGTCTAGTTAGTCAAGTAGAGAGCTGTTTTAAGACTATTAATAGTTTGAGGACGAAACTAATAATTCACGCCTAATTTAAATGTATTTTCAACACTTCTCTCTTTTATTCAATATTAAGTGTGTGTTTGATAGAAAACATGTAATTTTCTTGCAATCAAAAACAAAAAATTGCATTTTCCTTATAAAAATATTTTGCCAAAACAACTTTCTTCACTTATTTTTTTTTTCTGTTAGATCATTTGAAATACTTTCTAAAAATATAATTGTTAGCAAGAATGTATGAAATTACACTCAATGACTTTCAAAGTGGACGATCTTTAATTTTTGATTCCGCTTGTTCCATAAAAAATTCAAATTCAAATTTTCGCTCTCCTTTAAAATCAAATTTTTATACCCCTCATAGAAATTTGTATAAATTCAAAGAATATTTCATAATGATGACACTCTCATCAAAATGACAATGACATATCAAATTCAAAACTTGTTGACTTGATAATTTTGGAATTTGAATTTCAAACTCCTTTTTACCTCCAAATTTCAAACTCAATATGGGGAAAAATTAAGTAAATATATTTTATCTATAATTATGTTTTCCCTATTTTTATTAATGCTCTTACTTTTATCTATTTTCTCTAGCTTCAGGTGAGTCACTTTGAATGTAGATATTCCCAAAGTGAATTCCTCATTATTACGAGTGAATTTGGGAATATCTACATTCAAAGTGATTCATTATTAGAATAAATTTCTGTTATTTGGAGGAATTAAGACTTAATTGTAGACTTGAAATTTGAGAAATATGAGAGTTGACATGTTAATTGGCATCAATATTATGAGCTTGATTATAGATTTGAGTGAATTTTTGGGTCTAGACTAGCACATAGTAATGAGTGTTGTTAGTTTTGAAATCTTATTGTGATTATTTATTTGAATAGATTGTACTGATTTGGAAGTCCAACGAAAGAGGAATGCTTAAGTCCCAGAGTAATTGCTCGATTGTTTGAGACAAGTGGATTTCTCAACCCTTGTTAAGTGTATAGAATTTTGTATTTCCTCGTGGTATGTGTTGGGAAGTAATGAGACTTGGTGATGGGTTGACTTGTCCATATTTAATAATTCTAATGATGAAAAAAGGGTAATAAAAGGCAATGTGATTAATTATTGGTGTATGATGTGTTGAGAATGATTTGAAAGACTTATTGATTCATTGTTGATGTTGTATCACGATTGTGTTGCTGTGCATTGTGCATTGTTATGAAAATAGTCATCTCCTCATTATTTGTGTGAACATGTCATTTGCATTGGTTCTGAGACATGGTTGTGATAAATGTTATGTGAATTGAGTAAGAATAAGGAATTAAAGAGGATGTACCATTTCGAAGGACGTCTCAGCGCCGCGACGGATATTTTGATTTGAGGGACGTGTCGTATGCCACAATGAATTTATTATCGAGGGAAGTGTCGCACGCCGCGACAGATTCTATTATAGAGGGACGTGTCGCACGCCGCGATGGATGCATGGATAGATATGTCTCTCATGGGTCCCGGATTGAGAGACAACGAGTGTGTATCGTTAGGTCGGACATGCATCACTATACTTGACATTGCATTGCATATCTATATCATTTGTGAACTTGTGAGTGTCTTTTGTGTAACTTGTGAATGATGAACTTGATCTCGTGTGTTGCCAATATGCTATGTTGGAGTGTTGTTATTGAGCTATGTTCTAGCAAATAGTAGTGAACTATTAGGTTGTGCTGATTTTATGCAGGTTGTAATTGTGTTCGGTTGGGGCGGTAGGAGTATCCGTATTCTATATTCTTACCTTGTGTTTTGGAGTTCCCTTGTTGAGTACCGTGTATTGGTACTCACCCATTGCTTCTACATTTGTGTAGGTTAAAAGCTCGGATCTTCATGATGCTCTCTCTTATCTTATTGTCTGAGGCTTCCTATGGAGATTTATGAGGTAGTTGATTGTATCTCAGCAGACCTTTTCACTCCTATTTATGATCTTGTTCTACTTTAGAGACAACATCATTTGAGACTTGTTTATTTCTTTCACATCTATTGTAATACATTAGAGGTTTGTGCACGTGACAACCAGGTTTTGGGGATTTAGCTAAGTTGACTTATTATCCGCATTATAAATTGTTATTCAATTTTTAGTTAGAGTTTATTTCCGCATTATTTTATAGTACTGAACATTTATTCTCGTTTTACTTCCGCATTCACTGTATTAGTTAGGTTTTAGGCTGACTTGTTTTGATGGGATAAGACGAGTGTCATCACGTCCATTTTTGGATCGTGACAGTAAACCCGCCCCTAGTTTGATGTGATTGTGTCGTTAACTCCATTCATAACTATTGCCATTGTCCACCATTATCAATTACCATCATTATTATCGCGTACCATTATAAATTACAATCATTCACCATCTTCAACTACCACCATCATTACTCATATAAATGAAGATATGTTTCCTCATTGAAGTAGTTTTGTAATTTACCTTGCATCCTAATCTTTGTAATTAACTTTGTATATATTTTGTTAAGTGAAAAGAAAAATAGCATAATTAAAGAATAATGCCTATTTTAAGGAAAAACTTAAACAAATAAATAATATAGATCAATCAAACATTGGTGCAAAAACAATATCGCCCACCGTGGGGCTCGAACCCACGACCACAAGGTTAAGAGCCTTGCGCTCTACCAACTGAGCTAGACGGGCATTTATTTGAAATTTCTTATCAGGTTAAATAGCACGTAAACAAAATCTATGAAGGATAAATTTGACCCTTATAACCTTTTTCACTTAATTAGAAAAAGATTTAAACTCGTAATGTGCATCTAATTCACACGTCGCTTGATTCACTCTTATTCCAAGATCAATCTTCTACTCATTCGTTGTTTTGCTTATCATTTCCGAGCAAGTGACGAGCCATCATTGTATTTACCTTGTATTTGTGTTAAAAGATTCATTTCGATTTCAACACGTATATACATAACGTCATAATAACCCAATAAGCAAAAGAGATTGTGCAAGAACCTTGTATAGAGATATTTATTTTTGTTAGTATTGAGCTATGCTCAAGTCGAATTTGGAGCATTCCAAAAACTTGTCTAGTGACTGAGTTTTCCTTTTTAGGTTGCCCTTTCCAATATGTGAAATGTGGAAATGAAGCTCCGAAGCAAGAGCTAGCCTTCAAATGAGGTCGTAGTCCAGCTCCTATAAACTTAAAATCCAGAATCCGCATCTTGTCTATCGTCTAGAACACCCACGCGAACAATATCACAGCTGTAACAAATGGTTCAAGCAAAAACAAATTATCAATACACAGAATCATGACTGACCTAAATGAATGTCTTGCATTACTAGTAACAAACAAACCACCTGGTTCGATGTACATAATATTATACAGGTTACCTTGGCATCATATATATGCCTCTGTAGCTATGAATTTTAATTGACAGAACAAATATCAATACGGATTTCATACACACGTTACAATTTCCCCATTACCAGCTAAGATCGCGTATTTCAGATATCAAAATGACGAGGGCAACAAAAGAAGCTACTCTATATATTATTTGACGGAGCTACTTTCAGCCATGTGATCTTTACCTGTTTCTAACTCCACGTCAGAGTTCTATTTTGGTCGTCGATAGAAAATGTCATCAACACCTTCTTTTATTCGGTTTCCCACTTTCTGCAAGTTCTTGGCAACCCCCAACGCAACCAAATTTGCGTTCCTGGTGAACCTGTATTTTCAAGGAATCAAAGTACATGAGTGTTGTTATCAAGCACTTACTTCCAGCAGAGTTCATATCAAGAGTTTTAAGAATGCTTGCCTGGTGAGAAACTCATTACCAGTTGAGTGAGTTGGTTTATGTGATCCAGGCTGCGATACTCCATGACCGTCTAAAAGAACAAAAATGATAAATTAGACAAAAATGTTTCAGTAAGAGCTCTGAGTTAAATAGCATATTAAATTACGAGCAACTAAAAATGACATTCACCATTTAAGCGTTGTGATTTACAAAATTCTTTCCAAACTATGCTAATAAAATCAAAATGAATTTAAAAGGACAAGTAGCACTTGAGCCTTTTTACATGTGTGTGTGAATGATAAATATAAATATAGAGAGAAAAACAAAGAGGTGAAATAATCAAAGCCAACCAAAGCAATAAGATACCTAATTTCGTACAACATTTTTTCAATGCATTTGCTAGTTGTAATTTAGCAAAACATTGTCTATAGATTTACTAAGGTGCAAAGCTAAAACAAGTAAGTTCTACAGGCGAACCAAAACCTTTGAAGTTCCAATCAGGCAATAAGCTTCTATATTCTGTTTTGGCAACACGTTCAAATAACAAATACTCACTCAATTTCAATTTGTTTCGTCTTACACTTCCCTTTTTAGTATGTTTAAAAAAAAAATGTCTCCTTTCTAATTTGACTACTCTTTAATTTCGACGTCCCACATGGCATGTTTAAGACCACAAAATTAAAAGGCATTTTGGTACATTAAATATATCTTTAGTTTAAAACAACAAGATTCAAAAGTCTTCCTTTCTTTCTTAAACTCCGGGTCAAGTCAAACTAAGACAAATAAATCAAAACAGAATACATTTTGAATGTCAACATGTACAGTTCTACAGATTGAAATTTTAAAGTTCTCCTTTCAGGACTTCTCCCAACGAAATAGTTTATTTGGTATTGTTCTCTTCTGTTTGATCGTCATCTCTTCAAGATAAAAGGATTATAGAGAAGAAAAACAGCGGGTGCACTTTTAAGAATTGAACACTACATCTTTTACCCTAGAGGGGGCCATAACCATGACATATCATAATTGTTTAACTTTGCTTGTTATGTCCCCTGAAGTACCTTAAAGCCCAGGATCCAAGGATGTAAATCTGAGTAGTGAATGGAATCCACGTAACAAAACTGAAATCTGGATTTCTAGTAGAAGCTGAAGCTAAACAAGAATAACGGGCCTCTTTTTAATTCTTTTGAGGGGCGCATATGTTTTGATTACCCTTTGTAACCTTCTGTTTACCCCTAATACCTAAGTCAACCAATCATGCAAAGTTTTGAAGTTTTGTTATTTTAGATGAAGTGAATATATATTTCCCGAGCGATTATCTTTTAGCATTACAAAAAACAAATACCATTCCCATTAACCAAAATCCAATGGTCAGGTTGCTAAATCGATCTTCCAAAATGTATTTAAGAAGAAAAATTATTGTTTGTCTTAAATCTATTTCCCAGCTTTATGCTTGTTGCAGTTGATGGAATCATCAATGACGAGGGAGAGAAAGAAAAGAAAAGAGGAGAGAGGAGATCAGGTTTAGATTTTGGGTAAAAGACAGTAAATTAAAGTCCCTCTTATTAATATGTTTTTGTTGTGTTAGTAAGGACATTTGAGAAAATGCAAAAATGGTTACAAAGCTAAACTGCTTCAACTATAATATATTAGTTCTCTAACAAGTGTAAAATCTATCTCCAACTAGTATGTATTATCACCGATATGAACCATTTTCTTCCATTGTATCCCATCTTAAGCTAAGTCTGCATTGATTCCAAGGATTAGATGACCTTCCGAAACAACTTCCCTCCAATTGATTTTCGGTCTACCCCCTTGACACCTTCACTCACCAAAGTCTCACACCTCAAGCCAGTGCATTTGTAGGTCGACACAGGACATGACCAAACCATCTTAAGTGACCTCTCATTTTATCCTCGAAGTGGTAATTTTGAATCTTGTATGACGGCACATTCATCTTAGCAACCATATGTCTGCAACACTCATCTTGAAGACATGCTGGGCTTTAGGGACTCAACATTCACTACCATATAACATTGTCAATCTTAAAGTTGCTCTATAGACCTTATCTTTCACTTTGATAGGCATCCTTTCATCACATAACACCCTGATAGTACTTCATCTCAACCATCTAATTTTAATCCCGAGCAACATCTTCATCTATCATTCCACTCTCTTGAAAAACGAGCCTAGATATATTAAATATTTGCATTTTGGTACCACAATCCCATCTAATCTCACCTCAACTTCGCTCTTCTCATACTGATTAAACTTGTAGTGCATGCCTTCCGTCTTCTACTTATCCTGAAACCCTTGCTCTTTAAGGTGCTTCCACAGTTTAAGCTTTTGGTTGACATTCTCACTAGTTTCATTAATTAATACAATATCATCAATAAATAAATACACCATAGGACCTCATCTTGTATTGTGTTGGTTAGCTCATTCATAATTAGGCTAAACAAGTAGGGGCTCAATGCTAACCCACTATTATGAGAAACTTCTTCGCATCTCCTGCTAATGTTTTTAAGCTACTGATAACTCTTTCATACATGTTCTTTATGGAATTTATATGTTTAATATGAATTCTTTTCTTTTCCATCACCCACCAAAGGACTTTCATGGTACTCTATCATATATGCTTTCTCTAGGTCAATGAACAACATGTTAGATCTTTCTTCCTTTAAATTTCCATCAATCTTCTAAGAAAGAGTATAGCCTTCATTGTAGATCTACATGGCATAAATCCAAACTAGTTCTATGCCACTCTTGTTGTGTTCCTAAATTTAGGCTCTATCACTCTTTCCAAAGTTCCATCATATGACTCATGAATTAAGTGGTACAACTTTGCATATCTCATTTGTTCATATAAATTGGAATCAGAGTACTATTCCTCCACTCATAGGGCATCCTATCACTTGGTATAGCACTGAATTTCTTGGTGAGTCATTCTAATCCAACCTCTCTCAGATACTTCTAAACCTTTATAGGGATACTATCTGGACCACAAGTCTTTCCTCATACTTTTCATGACATATTTACCTCTGTTGGCCTAATTCTACGAGTGTAGCTAAAGTTTCTATCATACACAGACATGTGGAGGTCTTAAATGTTATTCTCTTGGTTCAAGTTGAACAATTGATCAAAATAGCCTCTCTATCTCCTCTTCTTGATCTCGTCATCTCCCGATAAAACTTGTTGTAAATCATCTTTCATATACTTCAACCTATTTAAACCCTTAACTTAAATCATCTTTAATACACTTCACCTGTCTTAAATCCTTACCCTTCTAATCTCTCAATCGTGCTAGTTTACATATTTCTTTCTCACCTTCTCATGTCCCTAGCTCTTGGTCCAAGTCATCAAGAGCTTCCCATTGTGCTTTACTAATAGCCTTCTCAGGTTCTCTTTTAGGCTTTAGCTCCCTTGTATTCTACAAAGGCTTCTTTGTCTTCTGCTTTTGGCAACTTCATGTAACACTATCTTTTGGCTTTAATAACTCTTTGTACCTCCCTATTCCACCACTAGGATTCCTGTGATCGAGATCCTAAACCTTTAGATACACCTAACACTTCCCTTGCTACTTTTCTAATCAACCTAACATTTCCTTCCACAGGATGTCTATGTCCCCCTCTAAGTCCCAAGCTCCCTCTTCTCATAGTTTTTCTTGAAAGGCAAACTGACAGCGCCATTTAATGTCCACCACCCAGTTCACAGTTGTTTACAAGTCATCTTTCTTTCTCATTCCACTCTTAAGGTTTACATCTAAGACTACTAACCTATGTTGAGTGGTCATTGTTTCTCATGGAATAATCATATAGTAAAATAGTCCTTAAATGTACTTCTATCTCATCTTCTAGTAAGGATAAAGACCATTTGACTATGATTACCCCCACTCTTATATGTTATTACATGAGAATTTATCTCTTTAAAATATGTGTATCACTAAACTTATGGTAATATACAGAATACCTTCAACAACACATAACTCATAGATAATGCTCCAAGCTATTACTTTGATCAGCATTCAAAATGGATCAAGGATTTGAACTTTATGAGTTCGGTAATCAGTATTCTAAGACAGCGATTTCCAAGTGTTAGTAACTGGGTTCTAAATTTATTTTGTACATATTTAGTAGATTTCATAACGCAAATACAAACTCCGGGACAAAGCTATTGGATTCTACCGAATCCATATGTTAAAGCCTTACCTCTGCCGACTGCCGCTGTCAGCACAATATGATGGTTTCAGATGTTTAAGAAACTCATAACAATACAATGATACATTAAGCAGATGTATTGTAATTATATCCTAACAGATCCACTCATTGCAATATAAGCCAGAGAGATTGTTGATGGTGTTCAAGAAGCTCGAAAAGTATTGGGAAGTTTGAGAAGAACAGTAGCGGCCAAACAATAGCTGGACATCTCTTCACAAAAACAGTAGTTCTGCAAAGGACATATTGTTTTTGCCTCTGTCCTGAATATAAAGGCTATGCGAAAACCTCAAAAGGTGAAACAAGTCACTCAATTCTTGGTATAAAACATTGTAACTCGAGACCTGCTAGCTGGGTGTAAACTGCTTCAACATGGACTCCTAGCCAAAAATATAGGTACTTGGGAGTAACAAAGTAGAGGAGAAAATATTCTTAGAAACAAATAGGGAAGTACAATTCTAATATTGATCAAAGATTTTCTATTAATGAATTCTTTTTATTATTACATTTTCTAATAAAAATATTTCTCGGGAAGATACCTACAAAACCACCAAAAGAATTTCCTAATGCATCACTAAAAGCAAGAATTACATAGGAAATGCAGTAGCTAAACACGGACCAACTTTCACTAAGATATTTAGGAATTCGTTAAACGTCCCAATCATGAAAAATCTATTACCAGAATTAAGATATTTAGGAAATTTTTAATCAAGCAACACTCTTCAACTGCGAAAACAATTCACATGTCCATCTGAACATCAAAGACCTAAAACAATACAGTGAAGACCTCTTTCGGCATTGAATTCTGAAATAATGAAAGAAAGTCACCTTCTCTCTTACGAGCATGGCCAGGAGCTGCCTCAGCTGAACTAACCTTTCTATCCACCAAGACCTGTGCCAGTGCACACTTACGTTAGTTGAGCAAGAAAGTTGTGGAATAACAAACAATTAAGATAGAAAAAACAACGAGCATTTGATGCATATTATCTTCTGAGACATACTCTCTTTTACAGACACAAATTAATTTCACATTACAAAAAGTGATCAATAAAGCTGACAGGTCAGTCACATAGTATGTACAACTCATTTCACATGAGATATCAAGTATTACACCTCAAATGGGAATAAATTGCTCTGCAGATTAGAAGCCTATGCACGATTTGCTTCTGATCTCAATATAACCACACATCATCAGTACAAACTATTTATCCTCAAATATCACATTCATCTTCTCAGAATAAAAATTTATCCTCAAAACATCATAACAAGGTTCAAGCAAACCTCAAGGCCAGCACAGACCGGCAATTCTGTTTGAACCCCTTGCCCATCAGCTGACCGAGTTTTCTGATCCAGGTAAACGGAGTAACCAATGCAAGCATATCTAAAATCTGTAAGGTTCCCACCCTCCTTAGAAGCTTGCATCTCAGATTTCCCAACAATATATTGAGGTACTAGTTATCAAAACAAAAAGATGAGTCTCAGAAAATAGCTAATTAAGTAGGTAAGTTTTAGAAAGCAACAATTAATAAGCAACAAAAAGAAAGCATGTGATGCTTGAAGAGATAACATTGAGGGAGATGCTCTCAACTATTAAGTATGTAAAGTCACATGTTCTGATTTCATGTTTTACTAAACTATGCTTTTTACTGATAACAGTCGTATCGGGACCAACTAGCACACACCTCAGTTATCCCACCGAGTACATGTTACATCCACCCCCATAGGTACCGATTAACTCTAGCCCACCAAGACTTAGGCAAATAGAAAGAAATCATCTAGTGTGTTTGTCTCTACTAGAATTTAAACACTGGTCTCCAATGTTTTCGCTCACTTCATTGACCGCTATAGGAAATACCCTTGGGTGTTGCAATGCATACTTTTGTCAAAAGACTACCCATAAAACAATACATACTTCTTTCAAAGGGTAACCTACAAAAACAAGCAATCAAGACAATGTTAAGAGTTTCTCTTGTCCAAATACAGCAAAAGTAACAAGCATTACGAACAATATAAAGAGAACCTGCAAGATCCAATCGGCAAGTTGAAATTCATAGTTTGACTATAAGGTGTTTGGACAATATTTGGTTGAAGTTTAAAAAGGAGGAGGTTGAAGTTTTTTTAAAAAAAGTTGAAGTTGAAAGAGTATATGGAAGTCCCTAATCATAAAAGAAAGTATTTGGAAGTCAGATATGTTTGGACATGGATTCCACTAGAGTTAAAAATGAACTTTTGTGAGTTAAAACCATTATTCACTTGAAATACTCCTCAGACTCTTTTTCAACTACAAGTTCTTTGTTTCAAGTTGAAGCTGAAATAATGGATCAAATTGTAAATCAAACATTGATTTGCAAATAATATTTCAAATTGAAATTGGAATAACGAAAATTTCCCTCTGCCTTATTAATGTGAAGCACTTACCTTTCAAGTTTCTCCCCAAAAAATGTTACATTTTTATATTTAGAAACATTTTAACTTCAAAGTTTCAATTTTACTTTTAAAGAGATGATTTATAGCCACAAAAACATTTATGGCTTGTTTTAGACCATAAGTTTCAAAAGTCTTTATTTGTTTTTTATAACTCTATGCCAGTCAAAGTGCATCACATAAATTGGGATGAAGGGAGGAGTAATATGCATATTACTCCTCCCTTTGTCCCAATTTATGTGATGCTTTTGACTAGAGTTATAAAAAATCTTTGTTACCTTCTCAACAAAAAATATGCATTGCCAAAGGGATATATCAGAAATTCTCACCACAAATCTCAAATGTCCATTCATGAATAATTTTAAATGTTTAGAAAGTCCTAATCTTTAATAAAGAAGTAGCCAACTAAATGAACTTGAACCACAAATAATTATCAGAAAAAAGCATGATCAAATAACGGAATTTTGTTGTAGCATGCGAATCATTCAATCAACTACCCTCAAGTCCAAACTGGTGGGAATAATCTATATGAATCCTCCATTTCTTTCTATTTGAGGTCATTTACTCCAATACTCAATATTTCGTCTTATAAGACAAATAGAGATTCCCTAAAACTAGATGGTCCGTAATACTCACACTTATTGCTACACCGACATAGAAATCTGCTAGAATCCTGGCAAATCATTATGCGTGTGCGCGTGCAAGCACACCATTGAGACTATTGTCACATTGAGAAAATACAAGGCAAAGAACGCCCATATCTAAGCAGGCACATTTTCAGAAAATGAGTCCAAGGATCAAAATTTTGAGCAAACTAAGCTCCCGTTTAGCCATAGATTTTGAAGTTGAAACTTGAAAATTTGAGTTTTTGAAGTTGTGATTTTTGGAATTTAAAGTTGTGCTTGGACTTGAATTTTTTTTGAGATGTGATCAAATTTCATGGCCAAACAGATATTTGGAACGCTAGCTAAATCAAACAACTAAATTAACACCAAAAAATGGAATTATTTGAGAGAGAGAGAGCAAGATTACCTTGAGGAAGAGAACGGCAAAGTCCGAGGCATAGAGGATTTCGCGAATTAGATTTATAAGTAGACGAATAATATAGACATCCTTTGCATGATTTTCCTTGCTTCTTCAATGAGGATGAAGATGATGAACTTTCCTTTTTGCCTTCATCTCCGGCTTCCGCCGGATTATTCACACTTATACTATTGCTGATACGGCAGTGATCGGCGGAGTTTCTCTCTTTTCCGGTGGAAATTGTGTTCTCCGTTTCCGTCATTCCTTTCTACTCCGTCGCCGATTTATCGTCTCTACTTCGCCGGAAAAGCGATTGGAAAATGTATTCTATTGGAATTGAAACATTCCTCGCAATGGGGCGGGGCGAATATCGGAAATGAATTGCGGGGCGGGAAAAAAACGAATATTACATTTATATTAGGTAATTTGACCGCGCGAAATAAATAATAATTGCATTGAACTTGCAAATAATCCTTTACTAATATTCATACATTAAAAATAATGAAAAAAATAGGTTCTTCAAAAAATATTAGCAATATTCCAACATGAATTTAATTATTTGTCATTATCACATAACTCAAGAACCTCTAATGAATGAATTACTCAGAAAATAATAAATCATTGGTTCTTTAATCAACATTAAAAGAAAAATAAAGAAGAAAATAAGAATATATATACAAAAGCATTTCGTAAGAAAAGGAACACATTTAAGTTACATAGATTATACTATTGTGATATATGTCTCAGGAAAAAATTCAAATTTTATATAAATTTAAGTGTCTACAACACACGAAAAAGCCCATCTTAACAAGAGCTGATCTTTCCCAATAAGTTTTACATGCACCTTTAACTATTCCACCGAATACATATCGGCCCGCACATTCTGCCGTACCAAACTTAGGTAAGTAAGAAGAAATCACCTAATGGTTTTTGCCTTCGTCGAAATTTAAACCTCCTTATGTCATACACAACTTTCAACCTTCTTTTTTTGATAACCTAGGTAAGTTAGAAGAAATCACCTAAATGATTTTTGCCTCCATCGAAATTTGAACCTCCTTATGTCATACACAACTCTCAAACTTTTTTTTTGATAACCGAAAATTTGTCTGTCACAGCCTTCTAAACTCAGTGGATAATGGAACCACCCCTCTACCCTTCTCCACTTAAATAGTGAACTTTGCTTTGCATGGTGTGGAACTTGAACATGTGACCTAAGCCACAAATTCTCCACCTTTTGCCACTCGAGCTAGGCCTTGAGGCAACACAACTCTCAAACTTACTCAAATAAAGCAAAGATTAACAATCATCCCCAAACTAATGTGATCATAAATTCCAAATGACTAACATGTCTTTGGAAAGAAAAGGAAACAGAATTTAGCTAACCTACTTTCCATTAAAATTTACAAAGTTGCTTGTTCTTGTTTCAGAATCTTACTCACATACTGAAGCTTTACAGTTGGTAAATGTGTGGGGGGGTCACAACTCACAACAATGAAGTGCCTAAAAGAAATAATAACTGTAAAATTTATGTTTTTACAACGCGATGACCGAAAACAGGATAATAAGTATCCAGCTCAAGTAGTTCTAAAATCTCTTGTGTAGCCCATAGATACGACGAATGGCCCTCGATGAATTCAGTTACATCAACCTGTAAATGGAGTACCAAAGAAATTAAACTTCAACTAAATGGAGACAACTGCAACACAGAGAGAAAAAATGGGAACATCAAACTTACATTCTCAACACCAGGAATCTCAACTGGTTGAATTCCAGCTAGGCCTTGAGTAAGGAGACTGTTAAAAAGACGTTGCAGAAGTCACAAGAAAGAGAAGAAGAAAACGGTAAATCAAACGTGAAAGCAGATAGTGAGGAAATCCTTGAAACCGTCAAATATATTGCAGCAGCAATAGTTGATATTTTCAACATCAGTACTATGCTTGTGAATAATGCATACCTGGCACGAAAGGCAACTCCAAGCATCCAATCATTGGTAGAATAAGCATTCACAAATCTACCAGCTACCACCTGCAAAACAAGAACAGCGAGCTTCAGATAGTAATGAGGTCGAATCCTACACTAGTAAGGAAAACAAAATATGAAGAAAAGGGAGGGGATAATAAGGGGGTGGGGGGAGGACCAAAGATTTACGACTATAATTAAAAGTAGTTAAAATCAAGAAAACTATGACAATGAGAACCTTTCTAGCTGCTTCCCATTCCATATCTTTAATTGCAATAGGTGCCCCAAGAAGAACGACCCTTTCCACAAGTCCAGCTGCCAAAATTCAAGTACGTCAGGATCTCAGGAAGCAAAGCAATCAACTATGCCTCAAAACAAATTAGTTGAGGTCCACATGAAGCAAACAATCAATCTAAAAAGTTAAACAATATATAGAGACACTTACAATTATTTTCACTCTCAGCCAAAACCTGTAGACATTTAAAAATAACTCTTGCCCCTAGTGAAAATCCTACAAGTGTCACAGGCCTGAAACAATCATGGACAATCAATATCGGAATTGGCTAACAAGTAAGCCCAGACTTTCAGGACAATCAAAATGAAGCTATTCCAAATTACATTTAGGCTTGTATACCTGTGTCCCTGTAATCCTTTCTTCAACACTTCTGCTAGGAGCACTCCTGCTTTATCAGATCTGCAAACACACATCAGCAACCATCATCAGAGTTTCTTTTTCAAAACAAAGAAGTAAGATGCTCTGCTTCAACACAAAACGGTATGACACAACTGCTCAATGATTCAAGCAGTAGGAGGCTGGAGCGTAATCAGCACCATTGGAGAAGGGAAGGATGAGATTTCAAGGACCAGAAATGCTAGGGATACAAAACTTTTAACGTGATACGGGTAAATGATTTGAGTTGTTCCTTTTGATTTTCCCATCCTCGTAATTAATATACCACCTTTAGATTGCAGAGGAAGGGCAAGGAAAATATCTCCACAACCTCCTCCTCCCGGACCCACATCCCACACCAAAAAAAGAATGCGTAAAAGAAAAGATAAGCAGGCAACAAAAACCTGTCCACAGCAATTGACCATGTGCTGTCTATGAAATCAGTAATAGTAAGTAAAGCTGCTGGCCAAGCCAAAGCTGTTAAAAGAGTGTGTAGTACAGTCATCATAGCACCTTGCTTCATCAACTCCATTGCAATTCCTGTTATTTAGGAAATCATGCTTGTTAACATTATACATTGAAATAAAATTGTAGCTGGTCAATGTATTACATCGACTGAAAGCAAAGTACAAAATATTTACGTGAAGTCAGCCAATCCTGAATTGCAGTGCTTACAGCAATAAGATTCTTCGATTCCCACAGCAATATATACCTGAGAATATTGTGAAATGTCACATTATAATCCTTGTGCTAAAGATATGGGAAACGGTTGGGTTATTTAGGTACACAAGTAGGAAATTTAAATAAAGCTCATCGCTACCTTGGCGGTATCACCAAAATGAAAATAAACTGAGAAATAGAAAGAATAATGTTTTACCTTTCAGAGTTATCATGTTGTCCTTCCCAAGGTCTTATAAAGTCTTCCTCCTCAAAAACAAGTCCCGAGATCAAGATCTGAACTGCCAGCCGCTGAGAGAATATGCAAAGTGAGAGAACAAATACCAAAGAGAACTAATGGTCCATGATTAAAACTATAACTCATCGAAACTATGAGAATAAAGAAGAGGGGATAAAAACAAACAAGCAGAGAAGCAGACTGCAATCCTACCCAGTGAAACAATACATGCTAAGAAGAAATATCAAGTATCAAAAAGAGAGCTAATGATTTACCCCCTGGTTGTGGTTTTCCCCTATAGCCTTGAACTCAAATTCATCAACGTCTCCAGTTCTCCTGGCCATTTTAGTTCCTGTAAGTCCGGCTCCAGCAGCTGGGTAAGCAGAAGTATCAGTAACAACATCAAATAACTGAAGAATTACTTAAAGATGTTCACAGTCCAAACCCAATCTTAACTATATGAGTTGTGTTACATTATCTGTCTCCATAATCATCCCATAGAAAAGATTCAACCAAAGAATGTTAAAAGATTATACACACACAAGACAATCCTGTAAACGTTTACCTCCAAATGATGCTGCGACTGCAACAGATCCTGCAACACTCCCAGCAGCAGTAGCAACAGCAGCGAACCCACTTGCTCCAATCACAGGAATAAGAGTGCCCAAGGTAGGTGCTAAAGCACCAAAGCCTGCAGCTATTGCTGGAGCAGCCAAACCTGATTGATAATAAAACAGAGGTTAGAAAGTCCTACAATTTGTTCTCTAATATGGTTGTTCATTGAACATAGTAATAGCTCTTTAAGAATAAAACAAAGACAAAGGTCAGAGAAATCTATTCCCTTGGAGGCTTGTTAAGATTATATCTGCCTGCTAATAGTTGAGAAAATTTTAGATGTCCTACCACCAGTAATTGCCATTAAAGTTCCACCAGTCAATGCAGCTGCACCTATAATACCTCCTCGTTTCCACTTAGCCCATGAACCATCAGGAGATTGGCTTTCCTCCTTTGATTCTTCCTCTTTCAGCAAAGCCATTGCTGAACAAGCAACCATGGTCTCAATGGCTTCCTGCAGCACATAAATTCTTTCAAAATGGGAAGTTTATGGAAGTTCATGCCTCAAGTAAATAGCTACTTGGGACAGATGTAAATTATGTGCCATTTCAACATGTTCTCTTCATATGAAACAGATGTTATCCTAACTTAAATGAAAAAGAACTGCTTGTCAAAATCAGAATAAAGTATATTTACACTTAAGCATCTATATTCTCCTCACAACACTGTTGACATCAATGTAAAGAACCAAAAGAATATAAAAGATCCAAATTCTCTTCCTAATATAAAAGGAAAGCAAAAACATATATGTATATTTTTTGAAACTGGTAAGATTAGGAAAGCAAAACATATAAATATTTACTCTATAGAGTTATAGGAAGGTGAACTTACAAATGTGGGATAAACAAAAGTTTATTTATATTAACTTGTAATTTAAGATTTTTAAACATGCACTCTATAAAGAATTCTATGACTGTAGTAGCCCGCTAAAAGCGTGCAGCTCCCTACTATGCAGATTGTTCTTGTACCACGGCTAGAGACGGACTCTTATCGCTAACATAAAAAGGTTGTCTGTAGTAGCCTGCTCAAATGACCCCATCGCTATTATGGAAAAAAATTTATAGCCATATCAGGGTATTTAAAGATCTTCAAGTATTCCATGGCATAACGAAATAAGAACGTGCAAATCATCAGAAGTATTATTCCAGACCAAATCAAAAGTGTACGTGTCGCTCGATTACCTACAATGTTGGCAATAATTCTGGTAACAAATTCCACATT